TTCCAAAACGTACCCGTTTCCTAAATTTTTTAGAAAATCGTTTCTACGTTTTCAAATGTTTCGTTTCTACGTATCCGTTTCCGTTTTATACAACCTAGCTCGTGAGAGACTGATATGCCGTGGATATGGCTGAGGAATAAAGATGACGCGGAAGGGAAGAGGCATTTGAAGTTGAAAAGACTTTGGTTTATAAAGTTTTGCTTTTAGAGAAGTTCTAATAAATAGAGAAAATATTGTATTGGGTTTCCTTATCTTTGTTGTGAAAGAAGTCCAGATTTTTGGAATCTGAGAATGGGGATACCGAGATAGTCTATAGTGTTGTAATCCGTTGTTTTCTTTGATAAAGATTTCAGTTCTTATAAGAGACTATATTCTGGTTAAATTTGTTGTCGTTGTATAGATTCAGATGCTAATAGTTAGACGGATTCTTACAAGAACAAAAAAAAAAGAATCGTCCCTTGTAAATTGTAATAGTGTTGCAGAATGGATGCTATAATTCAGGCATACAAAAACATTTGGACCACCTAGTGTCTAGATGATGGATGATTGAGAAAAAAAAAAAAACTCAAAGTCCAACTCTGAGACTAAGGGTGTAAATAGTACCAAATGAATTTTGCAGAATTGCAGAATTTTACAGAATTTTTGGTGATTTTTTGCGGAATCTGACGGAATAACTATGAATTCAAATGGTAACAGCAGAATTTTGTGGAGTCTGGCAGAATTTTTGATAATAAATAAATTAACTAAACTTATGAAAATATTGATAAAAATTGTGTTTGACGAAATTAAATATTTATGTTTATAAATGTATTAAATTTTACAAAATAATTGTTTTTATTAAATTTTTTAGTAAACCCAACTTATTTCATCAATATTTTTCGTTTTATATTTTTTCTTAGCAAAATTTATAATTTTTTTTAATTATTAACTACTAAAATTCTTAAATAACTTTTAAATTTTATTCATTTATAATTTTAGTATTTTTAGTAATTTGATTTGTTTTCGTATTGTGTATTTAGACTCCATAAGTTCTTGCAATATTTATCAATA